TGAGGGCCAAAGCCCAATGTGTAACCACTACACCACTAGGACTCCTGCACAAGGACGGAGAGTTCCATATAGCCTTTCCCTCCTCTCTACACACAACTTCTCCCATTCTGAACACCTTACATGGGGTTGATGAACCCGGACAGATACATTACAATTTCACCGATACAATACTGTGTGATTAAGTAAAATCCATAGTTTACATTATGGTTCACTGCACTGTATGGTTCCACGGGTTCTGAGAGATGCACAGTGTCATCATTACAACATGGCCATACAACATGGCCTTCATCCTAGTATTCATCCTCTGCTCTGCTCTCTGGGGCCCAGCCCCTAACCACCATTGTTTTTCGGTTTTGTTTTTTAACAGTTTTATTGGCACTTCACCCACATGTCCTACCATTCGTAGTTCAGTCATATCCAGAAGAGTTGTACAATCTTTGTCACAATCGGTTTGAGAACAATTCCTTCTTCCTCATCCTCCTTGTTGTTTGTGTAACTATTTATTTTTCAATTGTGGCAAAATATATACACAGCAAAACGCTCTCCATTCAACAGCTTCTACATGTATAATTCAGTGCCATTGATTATACTCTTTTTGTTATACTACCACTATTGATATCCCTCTCCAAATTGTTTCACCGCCATTAGCATAGACTCAAAAGCTCTAAGCAAAATCTCTGCCTCCTTTATCAAGGGTCACCGTAGGTCAGGTTTGGTTTCTTTTCTTTTTTAGCAGTTTTCTTGATAGAATAATCACATATCGTACACTTCTATAGTTAAATCGCTTTGAAAACCAGTTGTATATGCATCTTCACCATCAGTTCTCATGCTCCCTCCCCTCTTCCACATTCACTGATTGCTCTCCAATTCCCCTCACCTCCCCACCCATCCCATTCCTGATAAAACGTTGCATTTGTTATGCCTCCATTCCTGTTCTTTTCATGTCTCTTGTTGGATTTTTCTTCCCATAATGTCATATAGTTGTAATTTTATAATATGCATCTTTCTCAGACTCACTTCTTTAACTCAGCCCTATACATGTAAAATTCCTTCACATCGTTTTGAAGGTTGATGTGTTAGTACAGGTAGACTAGAGAAACAAATCCATAGATATTCATGTGTATTAAAAAAAGAGGTTTAACATTAAAATTGTACAGGCAGCAAAAAACAGCAACAACAAAAATGAGGTTTATATACAAGAGCAGTTGGATATTGAGAAAACATCCCAGCTCAGTCCAGATAAAGTTCATAAGTCTGATATTAGCCCATATGTCCGATACCAATCTATAAAGTTCTCTTCAGACACAAAACACATGCAATGACGCCAAATGCAGGAAGATCACTGGCCAGTGTGGGAAGCCTTGA